TATATATATATATTTTTTTTTTTTTTTTTTTTGGTAAATTACATTTTTTTAATGAATTAATATACATACATTTATTTTAAATTCTGGCCATTTTAACTTTAATACGAGTTTTCTAAGGGTCACAATAATAAGAGTTTAAATCTATTATAGCTTGAATCACAGATTGTTTTTTTTAAACATATTTGGTCTTTAAAATCATCCAAGGGGAAAAAGTTCCACTAAAAGAAGAATCACTCTTATGTAAAGCAATTACAGACTGATTAGTACAAACAGTCAATGACAAAATGTCAAGGCAGGTTCTGTCCTCAGATAAACTGTGTAAACCCAGTGAAGCGCAGCAGGATCTCATACTGACACCTAGCTGCCGCAGAGAGAACCGATCATTCCAAACTCCACTTTATGATGGATATTTACAGATATGAGGCATTTTGTTCACATAAAGATTTTATTTACCACTGTAGAGCATCAAATCAGCCATGGCGGCAGAGAAGACGAAGGGTTTCTGTCATGTTGTGGTGTCGTCAAACCTGCGCGACGGCTTCTCTCACCTCATCCAGTCAGCGGGACTCGGAGGAATGAAGCACAACTCTGTTCTGATGGCTTGGCCCGCGAGCTGGAGACAATCCAACGACCCACAGTCCTGGAAGAACTTCATAGGTTTGAGTCTGACTTTATATCCGAACCGTGCTGCCGTGACTCATTTAAAGAGAAAGAAACCTCGACAAACGTAAAGATACGATCTGTTCTTCTACAGAAACCGTCCGAGAGACCACTGCCGCCCATCAGGCCCTGCTGGTGGCCAAGAACGTGGACAGTTTCCCTCACCAGGAGCGTCTCGCTGAAGGAACCATCGACGTGTGGTGGATCGTTCATGACGGCGGCTTGTTGATGCTCCTGCCGTTCTTACTGCAGCAGCACAAGGTACGGCCCTTTAAATCACAACTTTAAATGAGGTTAGAGGAACGTCCCTAATGTGTGTTTTCATGCTCTTCTCAGGTCTGGAGGAAGTGCAAGATGCGCATTTTCACCGTGGCTCAGTTGGATGACAACAGCATCCAGATGAAGAAAGACCTGCAGATGTTCCTCTACCACCTCCGTCTGAATGCTGAGGTGGAGGTCGTGGAAATGGTGAGATTCTTATTCTTGACATAAGGATGTAAAGTTGGTTTTGTTGTGCTGCAGGACTGCATGATTTTGTGTGTGTGTGTGTGTGTGTGTGTGCGTGTGTGTGTGTGTGTGTGTGTGTGCGTGCGTGCGTGAGTGAGTGAGTGGGGTGTGTGTGTGCGTGTGTGTGAGTGGAGTGCATGCGTGCGTGCGTGAGTGAGTGAATTGTGTGTGTGTGTGTGTGTGTGTGTGTGTGTGTGTGTGTGTGTGCGTGCGTGCGTGAGTGAGTGAGTGGGGTGTGTGTGTGCGTGTGTGTGAGTGGAGTGCATGCGTGCGTGCGTGAGTGAGTGAATTGTGTGTGATTGTTGTGTTTGTGATTTGAATAAACAGACTGCAAAATATTATATTATATTATTATTAAATTATACTGTTTAAAAAAGTTATACTATAATTATCATAAATATTTATTATTGCTAAATACTGAATTCTTCTTTTTCTTTTTATAATGTTTTCATTTTGTTATATTATATTATAATATATTATATTATTTATTATTGCTACATTATATTGAATTGCCTTGTTATTATTTATTTATTTAATATATGAATATGTTTTATGGTACATCCTACATAATGCTACATATTATTATTATTATTATTACTACTACTGGATTATTTTTTGTCATTTATTGTTATTGTGATCTGAACTGTGATTTGAGAAACATGATGCAAAAATATATATTATGTTATATTATTGTATTATTATATTATATTACATTATATTAATAATATGTTTAAAATTATAGTACTTATAAAATGCTATTGTACCATATTGTGATTATTTTAAATGTGTTTTATCACTAAATAATATTATTATATTATTATTAGTAGCAGTGGTGGTAGTATTAATTAATTTAATATGATTTAATATTAATGTTTTAATTTTGTGCTATTATATAATTATGTATTATTGCTACATATTGAATTATTATTATTATTATTAATCATTTATGTAGCATATTTTTACATATATTTGTAATTAATATTTTTATTATGCAATATAAAAAAATATATTATTTTATTATGCAATAGTAGTCATTTATTATCTTTAACACAGCTTTAATTTTCACTGAAAACCTTTGTGATTTTCTGTGTGGTTGATCATTATTGATGTGTTTATGTTGAGGTTGCTCACGCAGCTCTTCTGGTGTAACTGAGGGTTTCTCTGTGTTTCTGTGACTCCAGCATGACAGTGACATCTCAGCGTTCACCTACGAGAAGACTCTGGTGATGGAGCAGCGCTCACAGATGCTGAAGCAGATGCAGCTGTCGAGGACGGAGCGCGAGCGAGAGGTGATGCTTCATGACACTCGTTCTGTGTATGAAGGAATATGCAGTGACCATATCTTCATGAATGCATATCTAGCATTAATGCATTAATGCTAAACTATCAAAAAATGTCCAAATATTTCCCTCTAAAAAAAAAAAAAAAAAAGGAAATTATATTTTGTTTAAAGAAGTAGTTTTTTAAATATTAAACTAATGTCAATAGGCAACTGTAATGAAAATGTGATTGTTCCCTTATTTTCCTTTTTAAATTATGTATATATATAATTTATATATATATAATTTAAATATATTAAATTAAGCATTTTGCAAACTACATTCAGTATAAAGCATATATGTATATATATATATATATATATATATACTCAAAAAAATACATATATACACATTCATACACACACACACACACACATATATATATATATACACATTCATACACACACACACACACACACACACAAACACATATATATATACATACATTCACACACACACACACACACACACATATATACATACATTCATACACACACACACACACATATATATATATACATTCATACACACACACACACACACATATATACACATTCATACACACACACACATATACAGTGGGTACGGAAAGTATTCAGACCCCCTTAAATTTTTCACTGTTTGTTATATTGCAGCCATTTGCTAAAATCATTTAAGTAAGTTGGACTGGCGGCGCTGTGTGACTTGTGGTCCTCTTTCATTTCTGCTGCGATCGGGGAAACACGTCTCTCAGATTCAGAGCATCACGGATGAGTCGCGTAGCTCCATTCGGAGGAAGAACCAGAGCGGCGCTCACGGCTCGGCCGTCAATAACCAGAACGCCCGACTAGATGACGATAAACAAGACGAGGTAGTGAATTCAAAGGCAGAATCCTAAAACCACCGTCCTGGATTACAGAGCCAGAAGACGAGTAGATCATCGCTCACATCCTTTATGCTGATTTATGTGTTAATAGCATTAGTGTTAGCTCCGCCCTTCAGAAACCTCTTCCCATCATGCATGTGTCAGTGATATCATCATGTCATGCACCACCATCTTTCAACACTTGTGACCCCACGTGAATGTGAATGCCCCCCTTTCCTTTCATTCCCTCATGTTTCTCTGAATTTAGTTTTACCTGTAAATAATAATAAATAATAGATCATTTATTTGCCATTTTTATTGATTTATTTTAGATTTATTTATATATTTTTTTATTTTTGTCATTCCATCATGTCCCTAAATAAATATATAAATGATAAATAAATGTTTTATTTATTTTAACATATTATTTTTATTTATTTATTTTTATATTTGATCTCTTTTTATTCCCATATGTTTCTCTATATTTAGTTTTAAAAAATATTTAAATAAATAAATACCTTTTATTTTATTTTTATTTTTTCCCTTTCATTGCCTTATTTTTCTTTGTATTTAGTTTGAACTATAATTAATAATAAATAATGAATACTTTATTTGCTATTTTTTTATTGATTTATTTTATATTTATTTCTATTTTTCCTTTCATTCCATCATGTTTCTAAAATATATAAAAGATAAATAAATACTTTATTTATTTTATATTTATTAGGAGTTTTTATATTTTTTCTCCTTTCATTTCTCTCATGTTTCTCTATATTTAGTTTTAAAAATAAATAATTAAATGTGTTTATTTATTTGTATTTATTTTATTTTATATTTATAAATTTATGTTTATATTTTTTTCTCCTTTCATTCCCTCATGTTTATCTATATTTAGTTTTAAAAATAAATATTTAAATAAATAAACTGTTGATTTATTTATTTTTATGTTTTTCCTTATGTTTCCTTGTGTTTCTCTGCTTATATTTTCTTACTATAAATAAGTTTTTATTTATTTATTTATCTTTTTTTATTTATTTATTGCAATTCTTACATTACTTTGTTTTTATGAATGGTTTATACTGCATGTCAGCATATTACAGACTAATATAGCTGCATGTATGCAGTTTGCATAGCAGACAAACTAAAACATTAATCTGACATGCTCTGCTTGAATATAGATCTCAGTGCACACCGAAATTATATTTAATGACATTAATTTATCATTGTAAATATTATTACACTACATTAAAGGCCTTTTGTGCTCTTAACTGTATGTGAAAAACATTTAAATATCTTTGATATAGATGCATTTGATAATTTATGAACCAGTTTGTAAACAAATATAAAACTAAAATTTGTTTTTACGAATTTAATGTGTGATCGTGATAACGCCACAGGCTCAGCTGATCCACGACAGAAACACGGCGTCTCACGCGGCTCTAAGCGACAAGACGGACGCCACGCCGGAGCGAGTCCACATGACCTGGACCAAAGACAAGTTCTGCACCGAACGAAACCGCAACCGAGAGCCCAACGCAAGCGTGGCTGTGCGAGACCTGTTCAACATGAAACCGTAAGTCACCTGAACACACACTGACTCTCTAACGTTTGCTGCTTTGTGGTTTTACTGCTTCAAGCGCTCACGGTTTGACTGGGTTGCATGTTCAAACACGAGCCCAGAGCCTGCTGCTGTTTCAGGACACAGTCTGCATGGTTTGTGCTGTCGTCACATCTGCATGACCACAGTGTGTCATCACGTGTAACGCTCACGCGTCCACCATGTGTCTCTTCATAGATTCATATCTGGCCAGGAGATTTACTGACATGTTTTTGGTCTTTATATAATATGTGACCCTGGACCACAAAACCAGTCATAAGGGTCAATTTTTCGAAATTGAGATGTATACATTATCTATAAGCTTTCCATTGATGTATGGTTTGTTAGGACAATATTTGGCTGAGATACAACTATTTGAAAATCTGGAATCTGGTGCAAAAAAATCCAAATATTGAGAAAATCATCTTTAAAGTTGTCCAAATGAAGTTCTTGGCAATGCATATTACTAATCAAAAATTAAGTTTTAATATATTTACGGTAGGAAATTTACAAAATATCATCATGGAACATGATCTTTACTTAATATCCTAATGATTTTTGGCATAAAATAAAAATCGATAATTTTGACCCATACAGTGTATTTTTGGCTATTGCTGCAAATATCCCCCAGCGACTTAACACTGCTTTTGTGCTGCAGGGTCACATATGATCTAAAGGTTAATGTAAGTCTATCCTGAACGTCATTTTGTCAAGATTTTCTTTTCCTATGATTTATTTCAGAAGAATCAACTCAAATAACATGCTGGACAAACAAACACTATAATATGAAAAGCTGTCACCAATATAGATGCTATTGCTCAGAGAGATTTCTGTGATGGTTGATCTCTCAGTGTGGGTGTTTAAGCCTGTCTCTGTTGTTCTGTCCTGTTTTCCTCCTTCTAGCGAATGGGAGAGTCTGTAAGTCACATTTCTCTGTACTGTAGCTGTCTGTCTGTCTGTCTGTCTGTAGGTGTATATTAGCCAACCCATCACAAACCCTGCAGCACACTGGATTATTCAAGCATATACGTGTTTATATGAGCTTCAATGTGTGTGTGTGTGTGTGTGTGTGTGTGTGTGTGTGTGTGTGTGTGTGTGTGTGTGCGTGTGTGTGGGTGTG